ATAATTAATTATTAAAATAAGTGGGTTGAATGGAATACCATTGATTGGCAAGTGGTGAACCAGCAAGCAAATAGCGGATTAAATTATAAGCTACAGTCCTAATAAAATAAATTTTGTTGGCAAGCGCTCTAAATAGATATAGGTCGACGAAATTGGGTTAATGAGGCGCAATTGTATTGGATGTCATGTATAAAGTGATTTATATGTTCGTGTAGTCTGGGAATTGGTGCGCATAACACTAAATTTGCGCTTTACGATATGAACTCTCCAGAAGTATAGAAATTATTTGATATTGTTTTCGTAACTTGGACATATTGGCAGGAAGGCCTCTGCTCCTTGACCGGAATCCCTAGTATGCATGATAATTTCCATAATCGGACGATGGACTTGGTACATTGCCAGAAGTTTCGCCTGCATCGTAATGGGAATCATTAGTGAACCTTGTCATTCCTTTTCGCCCAATATGATAAAGTTGCGAAAACAAGGTCAAACAACATATATAAAAGGAAAGGAGATCACGACCATAATTAAAGGCACGCAATCTTGGTCTTCATATCTCCAGAAGTAGTGCGGCCTCGTTAGTAAAGTTGTCAGGGTGATAGCGCAGGGTGAAGAAAGCACCTTGTCCGAAGTCCCTTATCATAATAGTGATAATGATTTACCATGTTAAATTGTGGACGCTTCACCAGCATCGTCAGTGACCCTCGCCACTCTTAGCACTAAACCATCACTCATCAGAGGCATAATCCATATCTTGGTCAACCTGTCCAGATACTCTCACCTATCTCATATCCCTATAGCTCCCTCCTTACTAACCATTCTGACTTGTTTATTTTCAGCCATAGGTGTCCTTTGAGTGGAATTTAGTCATATCGAAACACGTCCCAATAATTTCCTCTCCCCTATGTTAGTATAAATGTTCATCGGACTTAGTGCTTTCAATCTGAAGGTTACTACATCCCATTTTTATGTTCCCCTCGTGCCCAGGGCAGTTCGTCTATGGATTTAGTTCAGTGATTTCACTTGGCAATTGTCATTGCATTCATGTTACTCAAAGTATTTTTCCTGTCATCCTGCTCAAGCGTTGAATAGCACGTATAAGGTAACTTTAACGGACAATCCTGAAAATATCTGACACTATATTTCTCTATAGCTTAGATGGATTCGTGCCTAGGTAAATCTCGTGGTTGGGTCTTTACTACACAGACCAACTCTATGACCTTATCAGCTATTAGCTGTCTCTGGTCTCCCCTGTATCACTGGAGTGGAGTTCTAGCCGGACGGGCCTCGCGATCTACTCATGCTATATTACTGGAACCTATTCAAAAATCTCTCAAATGCCAGCCCCCTAAATATTTTAGTCATTTACTTGGTTTGGCTATAAGCACTATAAACATCTCTTGGTTTTCTCTTCTCACTTGAAAGCTACTTGCGACTCATTCTCTTCCTGCTCAAAATACATCATAGATCCAATCGCTAGCCTTTTGCGAATTTTGTATATGCTCAGTTGCTACACGATATGTAGTAAATTCGCGGGAAATGCAATTTGTCCATCTTCTCATGCTCCTATGCAATGTTTTCTTTTCCTCCGTGATCACCTGGAAATTCTCATTGTAAATATCGATCACTTTTTAATCAATTCATGGGACGACAAAAATATCTATTTTGGACGTATTATGGTGGCTTTATTTCAAAACACGAATCGTGTTGTCTGCTCTTTAGAATCCTTATATTTCTTTATAATACTTCTATGGGACATCCGAACATGTTTATTCAACGATTCTTCCCAGAACTCCATTCCCGTTAACCTTTGGCTTATGAAGACCATGCTACTTATTATTCCGACCTACAGTCTGTAGATGTGATGGGATTGGAGATTAGGAACTGTTCCTGAGTGCGATTTATTTCTAAATAGTCTCATTGAGTGTCA